GTCCTAATATCTGTTCTTGGCGTCCGATAACGTTGAATTCAGTACTTTTCATGCCGAAAATTATTCCTGTTACGAAATATGATAAAAGCTAGGAACATGATAACTTTTGAATACGTCTTCCAATTCTCAACACCTGCGGCCAGTTTTTTAATTCTCCATCACGCAGAAAATTTAAAGGAATTTAATGCACTGAAAACATCAACAGAATGACTCAAAGATGAAACTTAATGTATATCATCTTGTTTAATTAGTGTTACGGGACGTTTAGAAGCTCCATATGGTCATTGAAAGTGAGTTACAAGCTGAATGGACCGTACAGTCCAGACACCTGGTACAGCTGCCAGACTAGAGGTATGATACTAATATACATCCTAACCTCCATTAGACTTCCATATCCGAGTCCAGATTCGAATGTATAAACCGGAAGTAGAGACACAGAGACCACATTGTTCGCTAATCATTTGGCCCGCAGCCTGGCAATGAGAGAACAGGAAGTAACATGCAGGCCCGCATCTCTCGCTGAGCATGCGGGTTCCCTACTTCTTCCCCAGCACGGCGCAAACACAGCGTTTCTGTGCGCAAAGTGTTTTGTGTGTTGAGAACGGAGCTTGGTTTATTCGTGTAAAGAAGTGACCGAACACTTGATCCATTCATAGGGATTAACTATTTTACAAATTTCATAGTATTACACATTCTTTGAACGAGATCCATAACAGGAAATTGTATTGTCATGTGTATTAGTGACTGTATACGGGGTTTAGGTTGGTGAATATATTTACCGACCACTTACAGGTCGTAACTACAAATAATTATTACACTATTGCTGATTTCCACACTACAAGTTACTCAACACTAAGTCTTCTCAGTCTATTTTCACTAGTCTTTATTTGGTAACAGCTCTCCACAATGGCTGTTCCTCTACAGTGTCTTCACTAGACGTTTCCTGGTAATGAATCTTAGCAGTGGAGATTCTTCCGGTTCCCGTTACTTGCTGGTTAATACTCCACAGTTGAACACTCAACTGACTCAACTCAATTCAACAATAGCGCCATCACTTCTCAGTCTCCCTTGAACAGGTTGACTCAACTTGCAACCCTCAACTAACTACTGTAGCGCTGATTGTCTTCAAGATAATTCCTAGGAGTGGACCCCAAGGAAAACGCCTTAAAAATGAGTGTTAATTGGCCCGTTACCTAGCATTGGATGTATGCGAACCGCACAGAAAACACCTCTTCCGAAACTGATTCTATTATCGCGTGCGGGTATTTCAGGCTTTGCCTAGAATTGGGTTTATATGTCATATTATTTTATAAAATTTTAAGTTTTCACGCTAATACAAATGCACCAAAATTTTCTCCGGTGATCAGCCTTGCCAGTGTTCAACTAAAGACCAACATTTCAAGAAATCACCTCTGTCTCCATTATCAGGGTCGGTGTGCTGTATGACCATGCATCACTGAAAAACTGATATTATTGTCAGCGACATACAATGGACCCTGATAATAGAGAACGAGGAGATCTCTGAAACGACAGTTTTTGATTCAACATTGACACGGCTGGTCTCTCAAAAAATTTTAGCTCAGAAGATTGCATTATTGTAATTTGCATCTGTTTGTCCGTCCTTCAGTTCGTGTCTCCTCCGAAAATACATAATAGACGAAATTGATTTAGGTCAATATCAGCCTAATATAAACAGCGTAGAGCGCGCTGCGATTGGATGTCCGAATGCGGGTTCTTCAATTCATTAATTCAGAGCCGAAACGTCTTGAACTCAGAACCATTGAGAATGGGATATAAATTTATAACATCATTTCGACTCCATTTACCTAAATAACATGCTTCTATAATGATATTGAAATATATTCCCATGTTACTTTTAGGCGTATTCTGTTTAAAACTTGCAACGTACTTTTGATAAATTATGGAGGCAGTTTCTAAATTTTAAAACAATTTTGCACCTCATATACTCTATCTCTTGTTAATGTATAGTGCTTCTCTTAAAACGTTTTAAAATGTATTATGTAATGAACTAAATGCAAAAAAAAAAAAATATTTTGCATCACGAGTTGTCATATCTATCTTGATATGTGCTTTGGCAAGACCACAGTTTATGACTTTAGACATTGATGTTTCTTTAATGTTGATTTGTTTCTGTAAAACCTTATTCGTATCGGCAATAAATAAGTATCATTTTAATAATGCATGCAAGATAGGAAAGCGTGTATATGAATATCTTCAGATTGTTATCACAGAAGGGGATGCTCATGCCCTGTCGCCAAAGAAGCCACAGACTGAATCCTGTACTGTTGTTAGTGTAGTTCTGAGAGCGAGGGTATAGAATGAGATTCCTCTCATTGAATTATAACACAGGTCTACAGTACCGCTCTATGACGCGTTAAAAATATAAACAAACTTATATTAAGAGAGCAGTCTTGTGGTGTTACCCGACGTTTAGGAGGAACGTATCGCCCCCATTTTCAGGGTAGAAGGAAAAATAATAAAATTTGTAAGCAAAGAGACCGTGAGAACCGGTACCAGTCTCTCCGCTTGCGAATTTTCTTATTTTTCTTTCTACCCCGAAGATGGAGGCGATACGTTCCTCCGAAACGTCGGTTAACACCACATCTCCACGGTGTCACATCCCAAAAGACTGCTTTCTTTATAGTCACCGCCGTGAAAACCTCAAATCTTACAAACTTGTATTAGCAGTGCAATAGTTTAACGTAAATAATACACCTGAGGATGGCACAGTGATGACGAAACATGTAGTGAAGTGACAAGTGAGATTGTGTGCACTAGAAGACGGTCAATACATACACATCATGGACGCGAATCAGTGCAACAGGACGCTAAAATACAACAACATTGTATTAGCTCACTGTTTATGAATATCACTGCCACTGTCAGCTTCTTCGTTATACATCTTATAATTACCCTGGGCTTTTTGTAATTGTTCACATAAGAATTACTTTGTACAGAATTCGTAGTTCTGTTTATGATATACGAAACTTCGCTTGCCTGGTTTCACTGTTTCGTGAAGTATCAAGCAACTGAAAACTAAATACTGTCACCGGCCTCTCTTTTTCATTCATATGTCGGCTCAGCAGAACAACTAGCTCCTTTCCGGGTCGTGTAAAGGCAATAACTTAGTAAGCGGAAACTATTCCTCCATTCTAGTTACAATAACAGTTTCCTCGGTTAACAAACTGTTTGTTAATTGGCAGCGACACCTAACAATTTGGCCTTTTAAAAATATTATCAAAAATTAATATTCCAATATCAAATGCTGATTAATTTAGATAAATATATGAGTTCCACTCAGAAGAATTGAAGACGCCAGGTGTTGATTAATTTGGTCACGTGAGTAGAACGTAACCAAATCACGTCAGACTCTGATAAGTTGCCGAAATCAAGTGCTGAAGACAGGTATTTTGCGGAAGCATCGCGGAATTGACGACATCCCCTTCCCAGATAAGAATTCATCTTCAATTGGTCGATTTTATCTAGGCAAATTCATCATGCAATCAGCATAAGCCAATCATATAACGACTCTTTAGAACAACGCAGTACCCAGAGGTAGAACTCGGACCTCACACATGGAAGCATATATCTTATAGTACACGAGATTTAGCTATACCCCTCTGAAAATAAATTGTGACAGCTACACATGTCAAAAGACAAATTCACGGCGCAAGAAAGCTACAGACTTGCCTCCTGTTGTGACGTTGCCCTACTTCCGGTCACTAAGCTTGGTGTGAGACAAGGCACTTGTCTTCTGTTCACAAACAAGGAACATGTAACTCGCCAATAAATCAGCCACCCCTTAAGAAATGATTAAATAGAATAATAAGCTCCATAGAGAAGTGTAACATGTTTCAGCTGTCACAATAACAATGCTACATGGGCGACACCTTTATTTCATCATTATACACATTGTCCGTAAAAAGGGTTGCATACTTTCTCTGATACGCTTCATCACAAAATTCTACAATTGTAATACAATAATGACGCCTATATTTTCCCACATCTAAGATTTTCAGGAACCGGTATGGGTGACTATTGACAGGGTTTGGATTGGATAATTGAGTTTATTGTTTGCTTCTACATACCACTTAGAACTACACGTAATTATAGCGCTATCGCAGATCTACACGCTCTACAATTCACCATTACACACATGCCAGGGTTCTCGGTCTTCATTCATCGTAATCTGGCAACGGATTTTAACGCAGTGTTTATACCAGTCTCACTGTAACTGCAGCACACATGAAGTCTTCCTTGCACAGCCTAATTCCTTTCTTGCCACCTCAATTGCCATCTCAAGAGACTCACTCAGTTCTCTTCTGCCAAAGTCAAAGTCACACTGCTACTGACGGTCAGTCAGTCTGTCTGTCTTGGTGTCGAGCATGTTACTTTTTAAGTGAAAATTACTATCCTGTTCATGTGGGGTGCCCTCTCTGACGAGGGGTCAGGTCTGTTATTTGTCAGTCATAGTCGAAAGTATTAGTCCATTGTCACTATGTACACTTATTTACAATTGAGTCTTAATATTTAGTATGTCTAATATATACAAGGCCTCAGTCAGTCTAGGCTCAGTACAGCAGACTATGCCCTATTTCTAGTCGCTACCAGGCAGTCTAGTCCCTTGAATCTCTTCTGCCAATCAAGGATTTTCGTTATGGAGCATCGGAGCGGATCCAACAGGAAACACCATTTAATCGTTATAGCCCAATAATACCCTAATTGTTGCTTACATATTCGTCCCCTCGGGAATCTGTTTACAGAGCCGTTGTATAGCAATAGCTCCGTTATTCCAGGTTTCAGTTGTCATGTTACAATATTATTGACTGTGAAAATTTGCAATATACTTTCGTTGTGTAGTCTGTGGTAGCTTAATATTTATAGTAAGTCTTTTAGACTACATTTTCTTTGTCTCCTTCCTTTTATCATTAGTTCCTTCTGTGCATGATGTCCTCTAATTTGGTTTGGTTTCTCCACAGTGAAAGCCTTCAACGGGAGTTTGCTCCACTTCTGGCGCCTGGATCGCAAACAGATGGGAGCATTCTTGTGCATCGCATCTAACGACGTTCCTCCAGCCGTGAGCAGGAGGATCATACTCAACGTCAACTGTAAGTACCCACATAATGAGGCGGGCCCTTAATGGAGACAGACACTCCCCAGTAATAAGCCGCGTGGCTCCCGCAGGGCGAGGGCAGTAGTGTTTTGCCCCACGTCTTATTAAACGGAATGTGCGCACGGAAATTTCGTCGTTATGTTTCTTATATATAGGAGAAGCCTGACGTCACACCACAGTCCAATCCGAGACTAAGTCATTTCATTTTACGCGGTTGTTGTTTCTTTTTTAATAAGGCGTAAAGAATTTGTTTCCGTTTAGAGTGTAAAAAGTAGTGCGTAACTGTTAAACCTAACAACCTACCAACGTTCTTAATCAAGTAACTGCATACTTGTAATCGATTAATCGACAGATTTATTACTAACTGTATTTCAGAACCGATTCGCTTTTGTGAAACACTAAATTATTCTTTTTGATTTATTTAAACGGTCTTGCATTGCATACACTCATCTATCTCCTTCTCTCACTCGCACTACATGTTTCGGCATAATAATGCCATCTTCAGGTGCTTACTCATCCACGCCAGACTAGTTCATTGCATGCCTTGTCCTCACATTAAAATAACTAAAATATATATCTATCATATACATTGACAAATGTCAAACGTTAAAAATATTAAAATTGTTCCGGATTCCTCATCTCTACGTCGCGTCTCACTACGCCAGTCACGCCCATCCTCCTCTGTTGGAGCACTCCTTCACTATCGTGTGTGTCT